GCAATATTTCATTGAGTTTGAAGTTTTCAAGCACTTCAATAATTTCCGTTTTGGATTTCTATTAAATTTTGTTTGTCATGTTTGTCTTTCTTATAATTGTGTTTTTTGGTACTACCGTAAGATAATCGTATTTTAATCGTTTTAATTCATATATGTATTCACTTCCTCTGTTTGTTTGCAATTACGAGTAACTTTATGTTTCTGATTTTCAGTTTATCTATAATGCAACTGACTTTGTATTTCCCTTTCATCTAAGCTGTAAGTCTTTTAATTATAAGATTTCCTTAGTTTTGAACTTTTTTTCTTGTGCACTGAAAGGCTCAACTCTAAAACTAAGAGTTGAATTTACTCCTCAGCTGTTATTTCGGCTATATCTTCAGCAGGCAAGCCTTTGGATAATGCTGGAAAGAGTTGTGGTAACTTTCTAAGCTTTTAAGAGGTCTGTGTGATGTGAAAATTTAGTGAGGATATGGTCATGCTCTGTATATTCTTTAATGGTAACCTTTGCAATGATATATTAGATAAGCATTTGTTACATATGTTGAATTTCAATTTATGGAGCTCTTTGCAATGATTAAGAATCTATATTCCTGCTATAAAGTTTAAAGAATTATTTTTGCCTTTAAAGACTTTTCTGGCCAACCCTTTCTCTTTCTTGACATAAATTGAAATATGCTTATTTGTATATGTTCATTCATTGATTTGATCACAGTACGTTGAAGCAGTATAGTGAGTGAGAGAAAGAGAAGGTCTTATTAAGTTTGCTTTATGTATGTTTTTCCTTTTATATATAGGATTTTCTTCTTGCATATTCACATTGATTAATGTTCTTCTATCATGTGACTTTGATCATCATTCTTATGAGCATGAACTTTTCTAAATTACTTTGATCCTTCTCTTTGTTATTCTCGATGGTTGGTCTGATTTTGGTTTTTATGTTTTCTAGATTTTGTAGTTTAAATCGACTTTAACAATGTAAGATTTTTATATATTATTTGGCATCAAAGTTCTGGAATGCTTTAACATCAAATTTGGATTGTCCGAAGTCTTTTTATTATGCGGGTATGAAGATTTATATTTCAACGTCAACGGTTCGATGTTTTGTCCACTAATTCGTTTCATATCTTTTAGTATTAGCTTTTATTTTCTCCACTAAAACGGCTATTAAACGTGTCCTTGAGGTTTTCTTTGTTTTGTGCTGGTTCAAAACTTAATCATGGTTTAGTTTTTTTAGGTGTTTTCAAGGCAGGTTTGATTCTTCAAGAAGGCTAGACCTTATATAGGTAATAAAAATATACAATTGATTCATTTTTTTTTATATAAAATTGGATGAATTTTATAAATCGGTTTATCACAAATGTTTTTATTTGAGTTTTAAACTGATATATCAATAGATAGATGGTTACTTTATCTATCTATTGATAAGGTGGTTACGTATTATAACACATTATCTGAAACAGACCGTTTTTTATATATATATATATTGGGTTCGAATTAATGTTCTCATAAACATTAATTTTCAACATCCAATCAATTCACATATCAAACATCAGCGGA